CCTTATTTTCGTTTGTCCATCTAACAGAAATAAGTTATTAACAAATAAAAATATGAACAATTATTAATATAAGTACTTTTAATGGCAATTTATTAAAACTAACTATTGCAATCGTGTGTCCACACATTGTTTTCATTTTTCCAGGTCCAATGTTCGGTTGTCCACCCAATAAAAATTAGTCATTAACAAATAAAGAGCTTTGTAATTATATGACGTTATACCCTTTCTTAGGAAGGGCAAGAGGCTACAGTAGTAGTTTACGAAGCGTGATCAATGAACTAGAGGGGGTAGAATGATAAGGTACCGTCTGCGCATCCATCACGAGTGTAGAAATTATTCATGATTCAACCTTCTACTCTTACACACGTAAATGACAAGGAGAGGTTGTCCTAAAGCACTGTAAACAAATTCCAGGCTTGGCTTTGTTCAACAATTATGTACATGTTCCGCTCTGTTTTTTGTTTGTGTTGTGGCTGTTGTAAGCTTTTTTGGCGTCAATTCTTTGTTAGTTTGCTTATATTTGTGACTTTTTGTGCTTTGATTTCGATTTAGTATTAAATTATACTTGTTAATTATTTTCCGATGCACTATTTTATAATTGTTGCACAAAATGTTGTTAAACCGTCCCTGAATCTTGTTTACCAAATGTCCAAAACGAAATTGTGCATAGTGTCTATACCCGAGAATACATTCTCGGGTCTATACTTTTTCATTGACAGTTATCATTCTACCCCTCTCCACTTCATTGACCGTGATTTAGCAGCTACTGCGCTGCCATCACAATGGATATAAAAAAATCTTATATTGGGGATAAAGAATAAAGATGGCGCAATCGGAATTGGATTCATTTAATATCGACGGGCTTTCCACTTTAGAAATGGTTGTATATTTATTTTCTAAATGTTAGGAAATGCCTTAAGCAATGTCGCAAATGATTCGGCAATACCAGCCGGTAATGTTTTAACAACTGGCATTGAATCTATAATTTCGAGGGGCTTTCCATTTCAGCAATGGGTGTACAATTTCTTTCGAAATGTTAGGAAATGCCTTAGGCAATGTTTCGGAAATGACGGTAATCTTTTCACAATCAACATTTGGCGATTCATCTTCGTTTTAAACATTTACAAACAAGTGTTTAGAGCGGTGTACAGTGGAAAGCTACAAAATTAAAGACAATTATCAATATTCATATACATATGTAAAATAATCGACTTTCTAGAAATTAAAACTGCTTATATGATAAATGTTTATTAAAAAAATTTGTATATAATACGTTGTGAAATGCCGTTTTGTGTAACTCGTTGCACAAAATAAGACATTTCATAACTGTTTATATAAATTATTATTTCTTTAGGTTAGCGGGTGATATGCTTTACTTTATCTAAATAGATACCTCATAAAAATCGGATATTTTCGAGTAGTCCCAGGATAATTATTTAAACTGGTCTCAAGGATAATTCGCCCATCTTACCGCAGCAACACGAGTAAAGTCTAGTCAGTAACGAATCACATGGTGGGAGGATAGATTCGCGATTCAAATTAATTTTCGCGCGCCTGTCATTTGTCACCTATAAGTAGGATGTTTGTTTATTTACATTTTAACTGTTTTTAGATAATATTCTCATTGTAATAGTGTTTTTGAGTTTCATTTAGTGTTATTTTAAGTTTAGTTTTCGTGATTTCGTCATAAATATATTTATCATGTGCATGACTTAATTTGTTGGAAATATTCACCTATTGGTTGCTACAAGAACATCTAGAAATATGTATTTACTAAACCCAGGACATGTTTTATTATGTGGTTTAAAGGACATTTCAGGTACCAAACGTTTATTATTGATGAACTTTTTAAAAAATCGTATGATCCTTATTCTTATATTATGAAGTGAATTGTGTGGTACCTACTTTGTATACATGTAAAAGGTAATAAAACCGTCACAAATCAGATTACAGTTTGATTCTAAACAAAGTTTTGCAAAATTTCAACATTGTGAATTTGTAGATATCCATTTATCGTAAGAAATAAAATTTTACGACTTGCGCTTGGAAAAATAATGAATACTTCAGTTTTGATTCTGACATTAACACCATATATATTGCAATTTGATGGGAGCCTTTTCGCAGATTTCATTTTTAATATAAACACTATCACATACTATAAGAAATAAACAAATTTAAAGCTAAAAAGTAAGAAAAAACTCAAATTGTAATTGATACAAATTAAAATGTAAACAATGAACACGAACGCCGATGTTGCCAAATGATGAACTGATTTTAAAACAAAATTAATAAATGAAGTAAAATTTAAAAAAATATATATAATAAATCGGTTTTATAAAAAAATCCTTAAATAAATATACATTATTTACATATTATTAGACACACATTTTTATTCTTAAATAAAAGGTCTTATCCACTTCTTCAAGAGCTAAAATCCGACGACGTAGCGAAATTTCGCTACTTCTGGCAACCCTGAACGATATTCTACTTATAGGGACCTTGTACAAAGTTCCTCCAGAGGGCGTATCACTTAGTTTGAATCGCGAATAAGTGAGTGAGGAATATAATAATGTGAAACAATTAGTATTATTTAATTGTTGACATTAATTTATGACATTGTATTGTAACAGGTGACTATAAATGATTTTTTGAAAAGTTGGCAAGAACACTCTATATTTTAACGCAAACCATAGACGTGCAATTGTAAACTCAAATTAAAAAAAATATCTTGATGTACTTATAAATAAGAAATGTGTACCTTTTTATGGATGATAGGGAATAATAAATCGCTGTTACGAGAGTAGTTAATGTATGAGGATGAAGAGTTTTCAGACGAGGCGTAGTCGAGAGGACTCCATTAAATTAAGAAGGAATATTAATTTTTAATTCAAATAACACATAAATATTCTTAGATATATTTTATTCTAATTAATATTAAATGTAAATGTGCAAGATAAATGAAACCCCCCCCTTGTTTAATGTTTTGTATATTAACATATTGATTAGTTGGTATTCTGAATTGAAAATATAAGAAATACATTAAATAAAAAAGATATTGAATGAAAAATACACTGATAAAACTGTACTTAACCAGACATATAACATATCAGGAGGAAGCACATTTAAATAACTGACAAAAATAGAAGTTATCCAAGATATTTAAAAAAAAATATGTAGTTAGAGACTTAGATGCTAAACAAATTAGTTTGAAAATTGCATTCATTTAATATTATTGTATTTCTAGAAAATAATTTAATGTAATCTTTTATGACAAAGCAACTATAATCACTATTTTAAGGCACTTAAAATAAATTAAGTTTCTTTCTACAATTTTAATAAAAATACTTATGGCTTTGATAATAAAATTATGACATTCACTTATTTAGTTACATCTAGTATGTACCTTTTATATCATAAATATGTTTTTTAAAATCAATGCACTTTTATCGATAGACTTCAAAAGGTCATTTCATTCTAGGCACTCCATATTTACTTAATCAAGTAAATAATCAATTATGTACTTACAGAGTGGGAATCATGATGAGATAAGTGTTGCATTGATTCATATATTCTTTTCATTGTTACACATTGGCATTTAAACAATAAATATTTCACATAATCACTGTAGATACCTACAAACTCCTGGTTTTACAAAATTAATTAAGCACCAACCTCATTAAACAAAAAAGTTTATATTTACAATTGGCACAGAAGTTTCTAAGTTATTTAGCAAACAATAAAATATTGGTTTATGATAATGATGATTGCTGATTTCCTGAAAATATAAATGAATAATTTAACACTTTTCTAACTTGCACAATAATTTAAGGATATCGATATCACGTCTCAGATAGAGTCCAATTATACATTCAAAAAAAGTAAACTTACTAAAATCAACTAATACAATAAATTTTACAGAAAACATTTAGAAAAATCAAGACAGATTATTATTTACAATCATTTTACACAATGATTAACTGACCAATTTCCTTCCAATTGTTTTGTGGGTAAATAATACATTTGCAGCACACAATTTGATGAGGAATCATACATTAAGCTTCTTGAATTTATAATCACATTAATGGAAATGCATTAGTCATTTATTATATGTGAATGTTTATATATGATTATAACCTCTACAATATTTTATCTGTATCTGTAAGGTGTAGAGAGTGGGTTACCCCAACGGCACATAGGCCTCATACAATATTTTTTATACAAATTGTACTAAAATACCTAATTACATAGAACTGATATATATACATACTTTATTATATTTAACACTGTAGTGACAATATTTGACAATATACTCCTGTATAGGTCTATACTTATATTTTTGAATTAAACAAATATTTCTAAAATAATACTTTATAACTTTATAACTACTTATACTAGGTATATTTTTTCTTATTTTAAGTGATTTATACTTGGTACCTACATGATTTTAGCACTTTGATTAAAGTATATATAGGTATATGCCATATTTAAGTTTTTTTATGAATCATTAATCCAAATGTTTTTGTTTTCTTCATTTTAATAAAGGGCATTACAAATGGTCTTCGTTCTTCGTCGTTCACCAAGATTATCAAATATATATATAAAAGTATTTAATGTTATCATTGTAGATGAAAACCTACCTACTCATTTTAAAAATAAAACAACACTAAAGAAAACTAAGTGTATGTTGTCAGTTATTTCGTTTATGAAAATATATCCTTTATGAATCATCTAAGACATTAAAATAAGATTTTTCACTCATTATTAACGAAATTATGTAATAACTGTAAATATATAAAGTAATTTTTTTAAATATATTTTTTGGCATGAAGTTGCAATGTTTATGAGAAGTCGTATTCATCAACAAAATGTTTTTTGCTTATTATAACACAAAATGGAGAATATATCTAATTTAATAACTAATAATATAAATAAGTACACAAAGCAATAAAGAATAATACTTCTGTAGTTTGAATAAAAAAACAAGGTTATAAAGGACTCACCTATTCAGACGCTATAATTCCAATTTTCACCAGCTTTATATATTTTTAACAACGTTTAAACACTATATTTTATTCACTAAAAGGGCTAAAATAGTTTGCCAAGCACATTTTTTAATAAATTGCTAACAAAGTGATTACTTCAAGTACATTTGACAGCCTATTCTGTTAAAAACAGATGTTCCTAGTGACTTTTTATTTTGAGATGGCTATTCTTAGACAGGTTAGCCAATGGTCAAGTTATTTTAAAACTGCCATAAACTATTCAGTATTTATTAAATAACAATATATTGTTAATAATTCGTTGAACATAACTTATTAATAATAATAATTAAATAATAGTTGTAAACAATAGTAATCTGAGTTTTAAAAACCGATTGGGAAGTAAATGAGGCAACCATAACAACAGCTGTGTGTATTGTTGGTTGCCTGTAAGAAGGTAACTAAAACTAATAGTTAACATGCTGAGTGGATCACACAATAATCTTTATATTCCACATTTTAAATGGATAAATAAAAGTAGGTATTTTATTGTCATATTAAATTTTTTTTTTAATTCCATCTGAAGTTCGAAGTACAGATGTTTTTTTATTTTTGTTGAACCGTAAATATTGTGAATGTACCTATCTACTTACTTTGGGCGATTAGTTTAAGGATTGATTGTCGTAAACACTATTGGTAGGTATTGTTGTCCTTATCACAATCATCCTGTCGTAGATAGGTAATATAATGATTTCTTATTGACTACTAATTTGTTTTTTCTCCTGGAAGTACTAAATATAACTACATTTTAATCGTAAATATTTATGAAAGTCATACTTAAATGAGCATTCATAAGTGATAATGATTTGGATAAATCATAGAAGTTTTTTTGTTAGTAGAGGAATTGCCTACCTATCTAATTCACTCTTTTACATCGCGGGAACTTCATATAGGTATTTTAATTTGATTTTAATTTTACTGCTGAGTAAAAGTGATAAAGTGAACATCCGTGTCGTTTCCGTCCCGATTTAGGCAGGACCGTCTCGATTTTAAACTACTAGACCCGGTTTTGTGCCGCTTTTGTCCAATTTAAAAAAATAATCTATACATATTTCATTTAAGCCACCTAACAATGCACATTTAAGCCACCAAAAAATACAATTTTTAAGGTGATGTGACAACATAATAAATATAATTTTGTATCAAGCACATCAAAAAGAGAAATATTTTTTGAAACAACTAATTTATTAGGATTTAGTTTTATTATTTAGTAAATAATAGTTAGGCATTCTTGTTTCTTTGTATATTTTAATGTTGATGCTTTTCTACTCCCCCCCCCTCACCATGTTGTCGATTTGTCTCGCTTTCTACTTCTCAAAATATGTCATTAAGGGTGGCGACCGGCCGTTTCTCAGAATATCTTGAAGTAGATTTTTTTTAAAGAAACGTAAAAACGGGATGGTTTTTATTTTAAGGTGGATACCTCTCTATAATATCCTCAACTGTCATATGTCATTCCTCTCCCCTACGTTAATCTAAACAATTAGGCATTCCAAACTGAATGACTACCAGTGGGTTTTGACAGCTTATGATGTGGCAAAGTTATGGCAACTCTGTAGGCCTGGTGATTTGACAAGGTGAGTGAAATAGATAGTTACATAGATTGATCATCCCTATTTTTTAAAATAAACATAAGCTTATGCCTTGAAGTAAAAATAGAAGCAATTATTATTTTTTAAATATCTAAAGTCTGAAAATTGGTTTTAAAACACATTTTTGCTAAACTGATTCAAATTAATAAATATTTGCCAGGCAATATAGCTGCTCGCAAACGACCAGCTTTGAGCAATGTATATAACATATATGTATCATTGACCCTGTTAATGACAACATGACAACAGGGTTGCCATATCTAAACTGTCAGTACCCACTGGTAGCCATTTGGACAGGTCGTTGGAATGCCTAATACAATTTAAATAGGGAAAGTATCAAGTATGACACATCATTAGAAAGTTAATTTTATGGTGAATTCAGCAATATGACTGTTCATTTTGCGCTCCTTTTAAATTAGCGCCCTTTAGCGCGGGATAAAAAACTATGGTAAAGTGTGACATTTGATTTGAAAGGTTATGTTATTAGTAATTTAATACACTACTGAATCAAAAATGAACTTAAAAGGAAAAAGAATGCATTGGTACTATATTTATTTTGTTGTAAGTACAATATGGAGATATCTAGGTTAATGTTATGTGGTGCATTGGATTATTAATAAAATTGGCTTTCAAACCAAGTGTCACACTTTACCATAGGTAATAGTTTTTTATCCCGCTAGAGGGCGCTTAATTAAAAGTAACGCAATTAACAGTCATATTGCTGAATTCACAATAAAATTACCTTTCCGACGATGTGTCATACTTGGTACTTTCCCTATTTAAATTATGTTGGTTAGATTGATGTAGGGGAAAGGAATGACATATGACAGTTGAGTATATTATAGAAAGGTGCCCCTCTTGAAATAAAAATCGACCTGTTTTGACAATTCTTTCAAAAAAAAATTCTACTTCAAGTTATTTTGAGAAACGGCCGGTCTCCACCCTTAATAAATCACCCTGTATGTAGGGTGTTTATTAATTGAGTGCCGATACTTATGGGTTTGAATCCTTGGGTGATTTTAAGAAGAAAACCTTTTAATTTTTGAGCTACAGACATGGGCGTCGTTTAGAGGAGAGCAAGGGGGGCAGTTGCCCCCCCCCCCCCGGGCTTCTACGACTTAATAAACAACGCGTAAGATAATAATAATAATAATAATAATAATAATATTCAGGCTAATATAGTTGAAGAATATTATAGGTTGAATATATTTATTGCATATCTGGATTCCCTTACCTTAATTCACGCTTTTCCGAAGACTCTGTTAGTTTTTCCTTAATCCTGTTACATCCCAAAAACATAAAAAAATATTTTTTTTACTATCGATTAGAAAATGAAAGTAGTGCAAAAATTTGGAATCGACAATTTTGAAGCTGAATACCAAACAGGAGTACAAAAGAGCTTGTTGCACACAATGAGCTCTCCATTAATGATATAGCGTCCAAACATTGTGAATTTTATCCAGACATACAAAGTGGTTTAAAAATTATTTATGGCTCTTCCACCAACGCAACGACAAAGTTAAGGCAACATGGCTGCGGTCTATTCGATCAGTGCGAAGTCATGGTAGGGGAAGCAAAAGCGATACTAGGGGAAGCAAAAGCGATACTAGCGCAAGCTGCCGATAATTCGAGTACTTTAGGGCGATATTTTGTAATTTTGGCGTATCAAATACACGTATACATTTTACTTTTTACTAAAAAAATAGGTTAAAAACAATAAAATGAGCAACCGGAGTTGCTATATTGCAATTATACTAGCAAAAAAAAACATAAATTATATAAATTTTCAGTAGCAAAATTGAAATTAAATCAAAGAAATAAATGGACAGCTCTGTATAATAAGAAGAAAAAAATCTTTAGTTTTGTAATAATAACAATAATACTGGAAATAATAGACATCAGAATAGGTTTTAAATAAACAATAAATTATTATTTATAATATTCTTCAACATCTCTTAAATCTTAAATGTTCAGCAAATAATTAGATTTCTGCCTTTGATTATTATGTATACTTCCGAATCTAATATCAATATCAACTATGTGTCTATTACGGATTATGACTTGCATACAAATGGTTGATACAAAAAGATATTGTAAAAATAAACTTTTTTTTTCTAGAAATATGAACCATAAAAAAATAGAATCTACAAAAAAAAACATTTTATTTTAATACAAAAAACTTAATAAACAAACAATAAAATAAAAATGTCTTTTGGTTGGCCTTACATAGCACCAAAATTTCAAAGCCGTCGATTATACCTGCAAACAAAAATAATCTTACGACTGCACCAGACGAAGGAAGGCAATGGAATAGGTTTTAACTAAAAATTGTCTAGGTGCTCTGCTGCCTACTTTGATATTAATTTGTAGATTCTTATGTTTATCTTCTAAATTCTAAATATTAATAATCGGTCTTCAGTCCCAGTCTATTTCAGTTTACACACAAATAAAAGGTCTGTGGTTTACACTTCGCCACAAGTCAAAGCGTGAGTAGTCGACTGTTTGCGCCGGCGTAGTTTGGTCTCTAAAAGGATCCGAGACTAATATTGGTGATACGAATCCTTAAGGATTTCCTCGGCGAATCCGCATCACGGATCCTTTTTTTCTTAAGTATTCGAATACCGCTCGCGGATCCTCAAAAAGGATTCGAATCCGATATGATTCGAATCCTCTCCAGCTCTGGTAAAGGGTGATGATGTAAAATGTAATAAGCTTAAAAAAGCATTTTACACAATCTGCACAATAAAACCGGGCCTCTACTCCTACTAACGTAATATATACTAGTTTTTGTTTTAAATAATTTCTGATCATGTTAAAAAAGAAGAATAAATTGTAGCCCACTTATAAAAAAATAACAAAATGTTTTGTTTTGAAATATAAGAATAAATTTGAAAAAGCACCAAAATCAAATTTTAAAAGAAAACTACTAATTATATGTATAATTTTAACTACCTACTCACCTCAAGTGAATAAAATCCTTTATTAAATATCCATGACATTTTCTGAATTATAATCGAATATTTACAAAATTGTTAAAAACGATTAAATTCCGGTTGACGAACCAAAATGGAACTTTAATATTATACTCGTATATGTTTACGCGCACCTTTGAACATATCACTTTACTGGGCTAGGAGGGATTTAAAATTTTTATAGATGAAAATGACAGAAAGTCAATCTAAAGAAGATTAAATTCTTCAAATGTATGTATACAGCGTTTATATTTTTTTAATTATATTTACTCTAAAGTGTACTATTAAAATAATATTTACCAAAGCTATTGATGAAAGCCATAGATATGAAAGCTTTATATGCACCGCACCGGTTCGGTTATCGAAACACAGATTTTCTTATCTGTTAATCTGGTTTCTTGGTTCTACAATTATTACAGTAGGACGTGTAGGCGGAGTAGGACTCATTTTTAATAGTTTTTAAAATTTCCCTGATTACTTAAAAGTTAACAAACAAATTAGTTTCATAATAAACCGCATTGCGTTATTTGCCATGCGGTGGATGACGTATCCATCAGTACAGAATTTGAGCAGTCAATA